AAAAAACACTGTCCCCACCTGTCCTCTCGGGTGGTCTGAAACTGGTCTGAAGCCCTTTAGAAGTCCCATCGGAGCCTTCAACTTTGAGCCTCCCTCCCTCCCCTCATCTCAGATTCTTGAGCATTATACCATGATAGAACCTTATACAACATCCGGGGATACGGGTCGAAGAAGTCAAAGACCATGCGCATAGCGATGCGGTTGAGCGATTTAGAGCTCGAGGGAGAGCGATTTCATAGAATAAGAAACCTTATTTAGAGTCTACCTGCTAGCCACATTTCTTAATTGAAAGGTTATAGTGAAGAAATAATCTAGAGTCTACTCTAAAAAAGCGTCTTTCTTAATAGAGTCATCAGCCGTATTATATATATACAGTACATACAAATGTCAATCAAACAGGGCAAAAACTCTTGCACGATATCTAGGATATCCATTAGAAAAAAACACAGTGTTTGTCGACGTTTGTCCATTCAGTTCAAAATAACTCTACTTAATGTATACGAATACTAATGTAATTATTGAATGTATGCTGCGCGTTTTCGTTGACTCTCAAGTGTGCTCAAGTCATCTCAGTCCGTGCGGCGGCAGTGCGCTGCCATGTACTTCTGGCCCTTAAAGGCGTTCTGAATGAACCTGCGTACGTACGCAGCATTGCAGGGATTAGCGTGTCAGCTTCAGCACCAGTCTATGGATATTCATGGATATTCAAAAAGCAACTGCTTTTAGCTGCTTCCATGGCTCCAGTTACCATGGCAAGAAGTCTCAATATAGATGTCACGGAGAGAATCTGTGATGAGATGCTTCAAGGCTTTCAAACCACTCCTGCCGACTCCTGCCGATCCAGCTCATTGTGCTTTCATACAATAGCTTTGACATGCTTTGACCAATCAGGTAACCAATCGCCGCAGCCTTTCTGCGTGATCTCTGAGGTCCTTCCAGTGTTAGAGAATCGCTATGACTGAATGGACCTTGACTACGGCAAGAATCTTACAGTATGTTAAGCCCCTGAAAGGGCATGACCAAAATCATCAATCCATACTGCACATGTTGACACCATATCTTGCTGCACAATGGCACCGTCTCCCAATCCCAATCCCGTCCGGC